TTGTACGGAAGCGTTCCGTCTGAATTTATAGAAGTTCAATAATGAATTTGTTTCGTATGAAGTGACCGTGATATATCGTAAAAAAACAAAACAGTACTTTATGCACTAATCAGCGTTACTATCAATTGCTCGTATTCCCCTTTGAGCGTAGTCCGAGAATATTGCATAAAAGTAGCGGTATTAATCGGATATATTCGAGTTAATTAACGGGTGTTGCGTTGAGAGTAATATACGAGATGACAATAACTTCTATTAAATTTTGTCATCGCGACGAATTTCCCCGAGGTGTACGGAAGTTTGATAGAATTATGTGCCGGGAATCATAAGGCGCGGTTACGTACGGTGGTGGCAGTGGAATGCGTCGCAAGTTTAGCAAGAAATCGCGGGGGCGTCAGGTGAAAGCCGTGACACACCGAGGCGTGTGAATCCGTCGTAATAACGCGACGGTTTTCCCCTTTGCCACGGTCCCGTCGTCGTCGTCGCGTCGCGTACCACCGCTAGTTGTACCGTTAAAACGAACGCGAAGATTATGCAAAAATGCGGCGCGTTGCCGCCTCACGATCTTGCCGTAGTCTCGCAGCGCGGTTCAGCACGTCCGAGAGCCGCGTTTCAAACTTGATTCCATTGCGAAGTTTCTTAACTTTTGAACCGCGCACGATCCCTCTGAGACGCCACTCTGTTTTTTCCCCTCTCTTTTTTCCGTCCCCTCCTCGTCCCTGTCCTTTTGCCATGAAGCTTGCTTCTGCCTTTACTTCATTTGTTCCGCGATTCTCTCGTTTCCACCTTTCATCGTTCTGGTTTCCTGCTCAACTTTTCCTCATTCCCGTCCTCTTTCTTTTTCACCCGGCTCTCGCTGAGTTGCTCGTTTTTCTTCGAACTGGAACTTTCCTCCTTTTCTCTGCACGATAGTTCACTCTCATTTTCTTTGAAAATGTCCGAGGATGTGACGTGAAATTTTATGCATCGATGGGGACAGGAGGGGAACGGTATGCACGACACCTCCGGCATTGCGGCGGCCTGTGAAATATTCAGATGAGATCCGTTGGTCCCCCGGAACACGACGTCTAGGCGTCTGCTGAGTCTCGCGCGCCATATAATACATGCGTATCGTGAAACGTATTACGAGCGTACGATTTTCGCGACAACGAGATTTTATTCCTCCTCGCTCAGCCGTGTTCATTCTTAGATACCAGCTTCCGCCGCGGAATTCTTATTCGCCGGTTGAAGTTGGATCAGAGCAAGAAGTGTTGTACAAATATTATACTTTTCTCGGCGTCATTCGCGAGGTATTAGAATTACTTTCGACAAAGTATTATCTCATGTCAAATATTTAAAAAAAAGCATAGACCGTGGAGATGAGAACTGAGCTTATTCACGTTCTGCGTTACTTTTATCAGTTCTGAAAATCTGTAGGGCATTTCGAATTCTTATCAAGTACGTGTTACTTGCACAGTCGATTCAGAGTTTCATATTCCGTCTAACGAACGGTAACGTTTTTTGAACCCCTCTCTCACGTAACGGAAATACGCAAGCTCTGAGGAAAGTTCTTGTCGATTTTCAATGTTTGACATTACGGTCCCTGTTCACTTTGTCCTCACAGTTTTCGATAGTCTCTCGTTCACGCGGGGAGAACCAGGGATAGTAGGAGGGACAGAAATTTTTGTCAAGTGCAATTTTTACACTACACTTCACGCGTCAAATCGTACGCGTGCTCTGTTCGGTTCACAATTTTACATTCAACACTAGAATACTTGTAACGATTCGTTACGTGGAATAGAAAACGATTGATAAAAAGTTTTATGCGATGTACCGACAATTCATTTTAACACTAGACTACCGAACCAGTGAAATCGACTGATTTTGAATGGGAAAATGCGTGTATAAAAAGAAGTCAGTTAGTGTCAAATGTTTTTTTTTGCAGCCTAATTTCTTGAATACTGGAAAGTAGTAAATTGCGCGGAACGCGCGGTACCGGACTTGTATCCAGTAGGTGCTTTGTCTTTATTGTATGGGATCACGGCTTAAGCGATAAAGGATGTCGATAATCTTTTTGAGCATTACGCTCCGTCTCCTCTGCTTCTCCAATAATCACCGCGTTTTCCGCGTGACTAGCGATTTAACCGCGCGCCTCAGTCCCGTGTCTATGCACGTATAGAATATTTGCTGCTCTCATCTCAATCGGAATCGTAGTCATATAATAAAATTTCGATCGCGCGCTATCGGCAACAATATTGATATTAATTGCAGGATGCATTCCAGGTGTTCATAAAGAATACGCAAGGGTCGAACGATGGGTATTAATCGTTTTCTTTGACCACTCGGGTTGCTCGTGAATATCGGAATTGTTTCAAACGCGATCCGTCGTCGGCGAGCCTACAAAGAGGGATGATCGAACGAAAAATTATGAATTAAAAAGCAGCTGGTCATGAGAAACTCTCCTCGTGTCCCGGCGACTAACCGCACGAGCAGCAACGCCGGGCGAGCACTTTGCCCGGCGCAGTTTCCCAAGCGGCTGTTCACAGTCGACGTCACAACGAGTTAACCAGAATTTCAAGGGGGTTAGAGGGCATCAAAGCTTCGGGATAGTGGGCACGCGATAACTGAAATTTTCATCGGTCGGAAATTTCACGGTTGTCGGGGCTGTGCGTGGTTGTCAGAAAAATCGTGTTTGTCGGAACTCGAAACAGAGAACATCGCATCGACTCGGCAGCGTGGCCCGAGTAGTTAACTAGGCGTCTAACCATGTTGAAGCTAAATGGAACTTCCCAACATTTTTCTATGCCCAGCGTTCGTGACATATTCCGTTTCATTGTTGGACGAGCTTTCATTGCCAGAATCGCGACGAAGACATTTGTAGATTTGCGCGAAGGTGCATCGTTGCATTGCATTTTATTACATATTATAAAACATAAGTGAATGAGAGTGTGAACGAGCACATGGGAGTGTGTGATACTCTTAATTAACATATGTTAGAGAATCATGAGAAGTCTGGTTAAATTTAATGAAGGTAATCGATATGAAGAAATTTCCTCATCGAATATTCCAATAGGTCAGAAGTAACTTTCGTTTTCTTGGGTACGGATTGGATTTCTTCTCACCCTCGCGACACGATATGATAATGCTGGATTGCATGAATATGCATGGGAGCCACTTAATCGTACCGTGTCACTTAACCACGAGACTGCAGCTTACCGTGTCTTTTAATACCCGGCCCTTCTAATTTAAGTAATGAGAATTTAAGAGCGCACCGTCCGTACTTACTCCAGAATCGTAACAGTTTTTACGGTAACGCTTCGAAACTTTTTGTTTTGAAATTTATGGCACCCGCGGAATTATCGATCCTCCTTAATGAGGAAGAATGAGGGAAATACGTCTGTTTAAACTGTGTAAAGCGAATGCTTATCCGGCGATTAGGTTCCACCGCTTGCTCAGGTGTCGACAGATCATTATGTTGAAGCCTGATTACGTCAGTCATGCGCTCCTAAACTAGATAATAGCCATTTGTCAAGATAAGTAGATGTGGTTTGTCATGTAGGGAACATAGCCGCGAGCATCTTGCACCCCTTTCCTTACTGTGATTACGTTGTCAAAGATACTGCTTCCAGCGAGACGACCACGTTTACTTTACGATCCGTCAAAGTAATTTCACCATTGATGAGGCGGCGTATTGTTCACTAATTAAGTCAGTCCTTTTACAAAATTTCTCCCTTTGTTCCCGCCTGGACAAAGGACGGATTACGAGGATCTGAGACGCGGCGGCGTTCAGCCATGTATTATTCGTCGGCACTTGGACGTTCGCGAGAGGTCATAAAAGTTGGGGAATAATTCAACGTCGAATTTTTTTTCGAAGCTATTTCGCGCGACTCGAAACGGCAGGAATATTTCGTGCCACTCTTTTTTCCTCTACCTCCCCCCCGTGCGATTCCACAGTCCGGTTTTAATTCTAAATTACACGAAAACCGTTTCACGGAAAAATGACAATATCCCCGACGTTCCTGCGAATTCTGATTCGAAACTATTTTTTGCTTTGCGCCAGGATTCGTCATTGTGTTCGTATAGTTTGGCTAGACCAAAATTAGAACAACGATACACGTGTTTAATTAAAAGATAAGGCAGCGGAATAAAATTCTTGAAACGGGATATTTTCCGGGTCATTAGCTCCGTTTCATTTCGAAACGCGACGTGTGCTTGAACGATTAGATTTAACGCTGCTACAATATGGGTTTGGTCTGCCGTGTTAATTAAATTAAAATGATACGAACTACAAACAGATTTGCCGGAAATACATTGAATTTCTGGCTTGAGAGTTAGCCGATGTGCGAAAGTTCAGAAACAGTGAATTTCATGAAATTATACGGAATGATCGGCAACGATTTCAGCATCTCCAATTAAAAATATGTGGAAATTATCAAGCCGGACGATGTTCCAGTTGAAATGACTTTTAAGCGTTGTACATTAAAAGGGAGATTGAGATTTTTGGTATTAAACGTAATTCTTTTTGATGACATTATCTTTCTTGTACATTTCCGGTCTGTCTCTCTTACACTTTGACCCAGTTACTTATCCTACTCCGTTTGAGCGGCGGGACTCCAGGAAGTAACCCTTTGATTTTAAGAAGTGAGGGGATCCCACTGGGATTCCATGGAGCCCTTAAACGGCGAAACTTTGAAAGCCCATATCTCCGGAACGAATTGAGATATCGGAAGTTGTTTTTCTTGATGTGACTTCCTCTATTGACTGAATTAGTTTACGACTACAAATTTAATATTCTTTTGCTGATAAATTCGCGTTAATTGAACAAAAATAATCACCAAAACCGTGTGTATTTATTTTTTAATATTATAATAGATTATACTATCTCCGAATGTCTAGAGATTTGGGTACTATATTATCTCACTCTGAGTTGCAACTCGCCTCGTTGACGGTTGTGCTTAAGACTGCACTTGTCCCATAAGAAGTATGTGAACTTTCGGTTGATCTGTCGGTTGTTTCTGTTTCAGGACTGTTCGAGACGGACGGAGTGCTGATTCCTGGCACAATGTGCGACCTCGAGTTTGTCAGTTCACAGTCCAAACGGCAATACGGTCGTTTCTATTCGCCACGGTACCCGTCCTCCTACCCAAAGAACATCCGGTGCTCGTACCTCTTCCGGGCAAGGTAACTAGTCTAACCTACTATCAACCTCGCAAACTGATCCCGACATAATCCATATATGTATAATGCATCTCGACGCCAATCTCGAGTAGTGCTACATATCTAACGCTCTCGCGCACGCGGTAACACTAAGCTCTAATCGGAATCCGAGTTAATTAACACATGATCC